AAAAAAAAAAAAATCAGTTGACTTGTTGAATAAATATATTATCTCTACCCCTCAGGTACATGTTCAATATATCAACCAGGTTTCAAAAGCCAACAAAAAAAAAACAAAGATCATCGAAGGCAAATGGAACATGTTGCTGTCATTTCCACTGAATCTGTTTATTATCATACTGGAATCAATATTACTTGTCATTTCCACTGAATTTGTTTATTGTCTTTAAGGTTTATTATCATACTGGAATCAATATTACTTGATAAGTGTGAAAATTTAAAATTAAATACCAATTTCACATAAATAACATAATATCTTTATTTATCTGTTTATTCAATAATCTTTGTAGGATAATTCGCCAAATATTGAAGCCAAACAATTAAGTAACCAGAAGAACAAGGGTCGACCATATCACTGAACTAAAATGAGTAATTAGGCATAACATCATGATAGATACAAACAATTAAGTGACCAGAAGAACAAGGGTAGACCATATTACTGAATTAAAATGAGTAATTAGGCATAACATCATTGTAGGTACAAATATTTTGAAACTGTGCTTACATATATTTTTCAAATTAACGTAAAATATGTTCATTAAGAAAATTATCAGCAACTTATCTGAAGTTACTCCACTTGGTCTCATATCATATACTGCTAGCGCTAGAGGTCCTTATGGCTTGGCCTTTCTATAGTTACTCTAAATCCTTATACCATATCATAACATAATCATTGGATTGCTCCTCTAAACACCTTTTCCACGAATATGAGTTTTTAAAGTTTACCTAATTCTTTGTATTATCTCAAATTTTAGGTAAGAATTTCAAGTAAGTTGTCAAACCCAATGCATCTTCATTAAGTACCATACCTGCAATTCAAATATCAATTCTGTTGAGCTGCCCAAAGTACCATTTGCTGATGCCACAGCAGTAATGTTCCTCCCATCAGAGTTATCAGAAGGGCTTCCTCTTTCCCCCTCTAAGTATACATTATCCTTTTCATTAGCTGAATAGCTGCTGTTGGCGCCCAGCAAAATGGATGAGTCAAAATATGTTCCATTCTGGACATTTAAAGACCAAAAGCTCAAATTCATAGAACCGATTATATATATGTAAACAAAAGTACAAGTATGATACAATAGAAAAAACCATACTCTCACTGTAACATTTCTGAATTGTAATTTCTTTCCATTCCCCACATAAACCAAAGCTTCCCTACTTGGACATGATAGATTCAACCCTTGCCTGTCTTTCAGATACAAAATCCCACCTCTTCCATCATATACAAAAAGGTCAAATCTTTCATCATCAACAACCAAAGGTTTCTCAGGGGATATTGAGAATTCTGCAGAGGGTTGATTGAAAACTGGCTGGTCAAGTATGAGAGCATCGAGAAAATGTGACGGGTTAGCGTTCTCATCCGATGTTTCACCACGAAATGTTGGGACAAAAAACTCAACTATTGCGAGCAAAAAATCTAGTGCAACAAGCAGCTGTGGCCTTTGGATGCACAAAGAAAGAAATGTTGATTTTTCATTAAATGTGGCATCAAAAATTAGAACTGCTGGAGTATACTTTTTAGCGTCGTCCACCAAGAGATTGTTCTCAACATCATGATCCATGTTCTCAGGCACAGAGTCAGAAAAATTGTCTCCATTTATATCAGGCTTCCTAATGGCCAACCTAAGCTCTTTTTCTGTGCCTTCACGATCATCAACAACAATCAAATCCTTCAGCGTGGCTGACAGAGAACCTTCCCCCACCGTGTTAGATTTGTACAAAAGCCACATTCCACTCACCTGAAACATAAAATCTAATTACACCACGGAAATGTAAAATAAAGAAAACTGCAATACACATGACATGACCAACTAAAGCTATCCGCTTAATGCGTGGAACTAAACCACATACAGTCAATTTGGAAACACAAAACAATCGAAGAACCATGGGCACTAGTAGGTACTGTGTTAAACCCAAACTTATTGATCCATGCAACACAGGCCACATCCTAAAATACCTCTTCGAGAAGTGAATAATTATCAAAATCTAAATAGCAAAATGCACATTCAAGGCCTTGTGAGCAGTAGCTTTGAATAGCTTTAGTACCGCGAAACACGTAAAACATTTTGCACTTATTCCACAGCTAAATATTAATTCTCTTATAATGAAATTCCTTGAAAATCAGTTAGAAACTTGATCAAAACTTCTGTACAGGCATCTTATGAAATTAATGCATATCAGCATATGTATTCACCATATGTGCAATGAAACCACCTGATAGTTCAGGAATGTGATCTCATGGCCATGGCACACTTTATGAACACTCAATCTCACAAGCCACTAAAAGGGCACTCTCTAGGGTATTTGATTTACAACCTGAAGAATGGCGAGTGATGCATCAGTTGTGACACCATAATGAAGACGAAGTTCGACCATAACAATACGGACAGAGATCACTGTTGCCACCACTATCTCCCTTGCCTGAGTTTCAGACCTCGCATGATCCAATCCTTGAGCAACAGTGTGACCTCCCACATCAACAAAAGGGGACACTGATACATTTTCCAATGAAGGGACAACATTTGGGCTCTCTGAAATATTAGCTTGTGCACATTCTATGATAATTTCGTACTCTTTGTTGGATAAAGCTGCTTTCAGCTCTTCAATCTGAGATTTATTAAAAATGCAAGATATGATTGATTAGAAATATACAGCCAGATATCAGGTATTCACATTTTTAGAGAACTAGTAAAGTGCACGTGCGATGCACGTGGTGGTGAATGTCTTTGGCTGATTAAGTTTAGTAAATACACTCTCAAATTGATACAGTTCCCATAAATATTACTGAAACATAATATCAATAAATAAAATATCTTATTTGATAGGATACTTGTGATCAAATACACTCTCAAATTGAGAAAATCATAAAAGCATTTAAGGATCTTAACATAATATCAATAAATAAAATATTTAATATATAAAATTTTAATTCTCATTGTTTACTTAGCACCCATCTTGAAAATCAGTGGCTAAATAAAATAATAATAATTAAAATATCATTATATATTTTAGTTAATTATTGAATGAAAAAGTTCAAATATATTAAGTGTTAATAATTGAAATATTAATCACCTTGATATTATTCAGGTGAAGATTTGTCATTAAAAATATTTCAAAAAAACAGTTTTTTAGGCAGTTTATGATACGATAGGTATTAGTGTATTACTCATGTGCTTGAAATTATTTATTACATACAAATTATCCGTCAAGTTTTCTTTTTTTACCAAGATTTATCGTTTTGTTAAAATTGTAGATAGGCAAATAAATAATTGAAAATATTTGAATTCTTTATAAGTATTAATTATGTTGCTTTTTTTGGATCAATTTTCTCAAAGAACTTTTATATATTTACCATTAAAATTATATTAAAAATAAAGAAGCTTTTCAAAACAAAAATTATATATCCTTTAAGTTTTGTTGTTTAGGTTGATGTTGAGTTGATTTTAGGAGATATGGAAGAAACAATTTGAAAGACATGTGGAAAAAATCAAATTTGTGAGGAATAATGGTGCGAGAATATTGTGGTTGATTTTTACGTGTGGAATATTTTGTTCGTGTATTTGTATTTAATTATGAAAATATTAGTTATTAATTAAAAATATAAGATAGTATGGGTATTAGTGTATTACTAATTTGCAAAAACATCAAAACATCATTCAGAAGGCTAAAAACAACATCAGAAATTCCATCTAGGCTTACATAACTTACATAACTTAGATCATGAGATATTAAAAATATTATTGCTTTAGAGGATGTCATAGAGAAAGCACAGTTACCATACTTCAAGTTTGATGTTTTACCGTGATGGCAACTTCTAAACTTGGAACTTGGTGCAGCAAGTCGCGGAGTGATCTCTGAATGACAAAGGAAACACCCTTGACATTTTGAATTATGCTTTCACCCAATTCTGATCCTGAGCCCACATTTAAGTTGATATCTTCAACCTGTGAATAGTTTCACAGTTCTGTTAAATGTTTATCAACAAAGCAACCAAAACTGTGCAGTACGATTTCCACTCTTCATAACTAGAGATTGAATGATTCCATTCCCCGGTTAGGAAGGCTTAAATTTCTGGAGAACATTGTTTCTTATCAAAGAACCTTGAGAAAAGGAATTTTGAAAAACAAGAACGATCTCTTTTGTAATCTCTAACAACGACAAATGAATTTGATACTGATCTGAGTGCATTCTCAAATCAAATTCATCTGATCATCAATGTTTTAAAAACCCCTAGGCACTAGTCGAACAGCAGCACAACTCCTAGCGCTTATGCCATGCTCAGGAAGACACCCAATGTGCATACTCGGTGCCTATGAAGAAGTTTTGGAGGAAGAAATATACATGGATGTATCATCAGAATTTCATTCACAAACGCAATCTTTGCATGTTTGAGAAGTCATTACATGAAGAATGCATAGCCAACTCATAGAAGCTCAAAATATAAACTCTAAGCCCTTCGCCAACTCCTTGCACATCCCTAAACTTAACTAAGAACAAAAAAAAGATCTCCATCAAACTTCTACCAAATCCTTCAAACTGTAGCCTGATTACAACCTAAATCTACATTAAGGATAGGCAGAGCGGTATTGGGTGAATTTCACCAAAACATTTATGGCTTAGTCAGTCATTGTCAATCAGACTGTTGATGGTAATAGTTATCTCATGTGGTGCCAGAAGGAATAGAAGTAAGCAACCCCCTATGTGAAGAAGGTTTCAACTGAGGTAGAGTATATATGTAAGATTTTTGTTCAGTACTGGTTTGACACTGGTGGAAATCAAATCACTGGAGCAATTCAAGAGAGCGGCATTAATGACAAAATTAAAATACCAAGATTGAGGGAATGAATACTTCATATGAGCAGAGATCTTTGAACAGAACAAAATTGGAATCTCCATTTCACAAAGAATGTTTGGCACATTTTGAAGAAGTAAAATGAGAAGTCTATGATACAACTCAGTTGGTTTCCACATCGAAAACTATCACAACCGAATTATAAACTCAAGATATAATAACGAGTAGAAATGTAACTGTTACACAACTTACATAATGTTCTTTGCAATTATTTTCCTGATATCCGTTCACTGTCCACTTTGAACTTACCTAGCTCCCAAAAGCGTTAAAATCAATGTTAATTTATTAAACACTAAAAGGTGGAGATACTTCATATAATATTTTTTTACAATAGAGGTGGCTACTTCTTGTTGATTTTATCGCAAACAAGAGGTTTTAAGAAATCCTCAACTGGGAATGGTGAAATAAATTTGATTCACAGGAGCACTACCTTCAAACAAAGAAGCTTCCTTCAAACAAAGAAGCTTCAAAAGGCGAATCAAATGGATCAGATATAAACTAGGACCAGTAGCCAGGCATCGAGGAGTGGTGTTTCAAAAACTGACATTTTTCCTACTGTAGTTGGCCATGTTTCTTTTTCTTGTTAAACCATCAGTAAAAAAAAGACTAGTTTCTTTCCTTTTTTTTTTTTGGCTGTCCAAAGGCTGAAAAAGATGTATTAGAACTTTCTATGATACGAATTATATTATTCAGAGAACTATGAAATGACATCTATGGAGATTTCTCCAGAAACAAATAAATAAATAAATAAAATTAAAAAATGAAAAGAAACTGACATGCAATCACAATTTAAATTGACAAGTGAGATGCAAGCATATATAACTGATATTCACACTTATATGTGTTATATTGCTTCACCTCTGCAAAACATAATAGTATCTAGTAGTTATTATAACACATTAACACACAATTTTTCCATCGAGATTGCATATATTGCATAATACAGAAGAAACGACAACAAAAGTCGACCTTTCAAACAACTGTATTATTGAAATATCTTCGGGGTAACAACCATTGCGACATGTATCTCATCAATAGATAACCACAGGTACTACAGTACTTCTACGTGTATCACGTCAATAGATAACAAGCTTGAGGGCAGAATAGTATCTTACCCGGACTTCTAAAATATCCATGTGGACTGCCTTGATATCGCTTTTGCTCCCACCAAACCATCTACAGGTATTCTGAACAGTGATTTGAACCACGTCAAGTTTCAAATAACTGCAACAAAAGAAAGAATTACATATTAATCTCCTACCAGTGGCAAAATGAATAATCTTCCAGGAGCAATTGTAATGTATTCAAGGACAGTTTCAACTCACTCTAAGCTATCCGTTCTCTGAGGCATTACTATGATTGGCTTTTTAAGTGAAACATTCAACTTCACTGCAGGCGAACCTTCAATTTCACTTCGTGTAATCCACTTCTGCGAGTTTGTCACTTGATCTTCTATTTGGACAACATCTTTGTTATTGGCAGGAACAAGACCCATAAAGTAACCGATAACCTGAAAATTGATTATCACAGTTGGAACAAATGGATCTCCAAATCAAACAGATAGACAAATGAGGATAAAAGGTGTCAAACTTATGGGACCTCTTGAAGAAACCGATTCAAATAGACAATTCGCACTTCAGACAGTTTCCCAAGGAGGCTATAGTCATAACCCTCATAGTCATCATCGTTGGCACTAAACGAACAAAATTTCAACTGCATATTCACCACAAAAAGATAACAAGTTACTCAAAAACACAAGAAAATACAATCATATATCTTTACCGTTAGTAAAAAATTAACAGAAAAATGTGCACAGGCAGTGGTTAGAATAACTAATATATACATGTAAAATAGTACAGAGGGGTATAGAGGAATTATGTAAGGAAGAATCATTAATAATTTAATATCATCCAGTACTTAAAAGAGGGGCATCTAATTCCTACAATATTAAGCCACGAAATACACAATATGAAAATAGTGAATTATCAAAAGATGTTTTTTGCTGGAGGATATAAAAGCAGTGATTTATTTCTCAATATAAAAATCAAATGTACAGGGAGAAAGTAAGAGTGAAAGAGATCTAGAACCAAGTACAATTTGATTAAGGCCCCATGGCATGTATGTCCACAGATGAGTGTATAGAGATGAAAGAATAAAGCTGTAAAACAAAAACTAGTGGACGAGACAAGGAAAGAAACAATAAGAACCTCCACAAAGGAATTTCCTCCAGGATTCCGCATGTCACAGGCCCAGAAATAGTTATGACTACTAGGAAGACTGTCATCGCTTATCCTAAGATTCCCGAGGAATGCCTTTATACTAAAAGATGAAGGAAACACCTGTCACATGAAAGTAGTAATATCAGATCGATTCAAGCATGACATTATAAATTTTTTACAGTGGAAAAGGGTAGGAATGTGCACCTTAATATCAGTAAGAAGATTATCCTGTGCCAAAGTAGCAAGTTGATTCTCATTTTCCATCATCAAGAATATCTCAGCACGAGCCATATTCAACCGTAAATAGAAAACCACTCTCGATTTCCCCTTTCCTAGTAAAGATTTAACAACACGCTCCTCCATTGGAACTGAGGGTACACCATCAGTCAAAATTTCCTTGAATGTATCATGTTGTACAGCAGATGTTGAAGATGTATCACTAAGAGGTTCACATTCATCCTCCTGAATGTTAATAGAATTTACGAATTCCATAATGGCTAGTATTGTAGGTCTACGACAGTAAAATGACAAAGTGGAGAGTGTGACTACCACCTGAAATGATTTTTTTTTCCAACAAAAAGCAGAAAAATCAGGACAATTGTCAGACGTCATATAAAGTAACACTCGATAATCATAAGATGTAGATCTGTAAATTAGTCAGCCATAACTAATGAGGGTCATACTGGTTTTAAAACGTCAAAGTATGAAAAGAAAATACATATGGAGTTATTCAAATAAACCCTTAGAATTTAATTGGAGGCGTCTCATTAAGTATTGGATACGGACCTAAATGCACAGTTTTTCAAACCTTCCTCCGCCTGTTCCCTAAGCCAGTATCACTCGGTCTCATAACCC